TAGGGATGTACGTTCCCAAATCATTAGAAAGACAGGTGATTTTTGGAAAATCGATTGACGCAGGTGGCATACTAACAGATTTATCTATAGCTAAAAACCTATTCAATGTGAACCACAAGAGTGATGTTGAAGCAGCTATTAAGGTCGTTTGTAAAAATGGTCACGAAAGCCTACTGAAATTTGCTGAGGTGATCTCTATAAGTAAACATAGAATTCAACGCACTATTCACCATCACAATATACACAGAAACAATTTATTACTCCTCATTTGCTCTGGTTATCATTCTGATATTATATAAATAAACGTAGTGGTAATTGTCCTTATTATTCTTAAATCCATTTTGTCATTTTGTGTAATTCAAGTGACCGTCAACTCTCATATCAATCGACTTGACAATTAGCAGTATGTTTGATCAAATTCCTCGAAGTCGATTCCGCAAATATATTACATTTATCACGAATTCTCTGTCGTCCAACAACTCTTTCAAAATCATTCTCCCTAGATAATCCTCTTTGTTATTCCACTCAATCAAAGTGACCATCATAGCTCATTGCCTAGCGACGAATTCGTTCGAAATTCTGTTGTTCGTCAGTGATAAGAGATTGGGTAGCCTACTCAGTGAAATCACAACTATGCAAATTGTTTCATCGGAGACTAGAAAAGTGTATCTTATCAATGGAACTATCAGAATTTTAGAAATATGACAAAGCATGCCAAGAGGAAATCAACGAAAACAATCAAATATCATCTCATATTTTATTTCCAAAAGGTTAGACGACAGTGATAAAATGTTTGAGTAGACTTTGAAGTCAACGCGCTGCAAGTGATATTCCATGGAACGGGTATCTATGGTCACCCATTTGTTGGAGTCAAATCTAGATAACTGATTACTATACATGTTCACTCATACAGATCACTTCTATACCTACCTACTTCGAATTCCAGCAGTATCGACGCTGGTATGAGCGGCGATATCTGGTTGTCATAAACTACAAAAGATATCTGTATGGATAAAACCATTTGACGAGAATGAGAAATGTGGACTCCGATTTTTAACTCCACGATGTTCATTATCACAAACTACGTTTTACTTATGGTTAGTGAGGCACACTTTTATTTATGCCTCAGGTTATCTGAAAATGTCTGAAAATATTAACAGAACGGACGCTGTCAGGCAATTAGACATCGAGTTTCGCTGAACATGGAATATGTTGAGAATGGGTGCATTCAAGGTTAAAAAAAGAGATTACGAAACTAGATTAGTGAGGCTAAATTTATTCCAACAATAGAGTCGTCCTCGCATCCAATTACGATAACAATCATTTATCTGTATCATCCTACTCGAAATGGCAATCTCAAACACAGTCACACAACGAGGATGTTCACAATTACTTCGCACATTGATGCGCAACCATTTCCATTATATCGGAGAATAATATGAATACGTGGCACGCTGTGGTTTGGAAACCTGCACTCCAGTGGATGTCGATGGCTGATATCATGTCTCACACATTTCGTGAAGCACATGAGTAGACTAGTTCACACGACTTTCACATCACTCAGACTACTCACTAATCAAGCTACATACTACTGAAAATCACATCAATATACCATACAAAACCAACGTGATATCAGTCGAAACACAATATCAAACACGCTATGATGAACACACAAACGCACACACACATACATTCTTATCTTAATTATTCTTTTGTTTATTTCACCTCAATTCCTCGAGACTTTGTCAAGGAACAATAAGTCGAAGTGAGCGAAACATAACGCATCATACTTTTATGGTTTAATTAAATGAACATTCGTTGAGAAGTTATGGTCAGTTTTCTGGCTAATTAGTTACTTGCAATGTTATCAGTGTGGAATCAGATACTGACGAGTTTCATTATCTCAAAATGGACGTTGTAATTAATTCTGAGTGTCTATTGTGCGTGTTCGTGAATGGAATGACCTGAAGATAAGAAGTGCGTGGCGTGATATTGAGAATAAAGCCTGTCTGTTGAAATTCCACAATCTTATAAAATCATTCATATAAGGAAGTCAACAATGCGTATCTGAATAGTAGTTTTCTAGTAAGTATAAGATAATCAAATCTAACAATGTGTAATCGATGAACCCATGAGAAATGTTCAGTTTTTGTGGAGTATTAAGTATATTGATGGGATTGTCTTTTAATTTAGACTTCTTCCTCCTTTTTATCCGCTTATCAAGTATTTTGGAAATTAAGCTATTTTAGATTGTGAAATGAAACCCACCGAAGAAGGTTTACTGCACACTAGCGTTTATAAAAAGCTATCGCATTCTAATATTCGATATATAGACTTAAATTTATCCCATCCGTTATCTGTCTGTTATCGCAGGTTTAGTTATTTGTCTAAAACACCAAGGAGTGGCACCAGGTAGTACAACTAATACCTAAATGATGAAATGAAACAGATAGAAGATTAGCTGACTGATGTTGAACGACTATCCTACAAAACTCATTTGGATGATCAGAGAACGTTAAAAGCAAAGTAAAAATAACGATGAATCTAATAGCGATAACATAAATAAGAAAGAATATTAGGCATTACATAAGGGGAGATATCTGAAACACTACGTAGGACTCCTGAGAAAATGGGAAATAGGGTGATGGCATTTAAACCTACAAATTCACTCTGAGGGACAAGCTCTGCAGGTTAAAGGGCCCTGTAGTTTGACTAAATTAGACAAAACATTATTATTAACCAAATAGGTAGCAATGACTGTGAATTAAGTCAACTACATAGATCAAAATAGTAGATCCGGTGTAGGCATATCGCCTGTCAGAACATAAGAATTTAGCTTAGATTAGAATGATTGAACATGAGAAGATAAGTAATTTAGAAAAAAGCTCAGCAATCGAACTGCATTCATTGATATACAAACACACAATAGCGTGGGAGAGGGTTCAAATTCCAAGAAGTAATATAGGTAGGTGGAGAAAGAGAGAGACTGATTACTGAATCTTTGTTCACAGAATTTACACCCAACATGTGCGATAAGAATAACTCATGATTCATACCAGAAATACAGAGGAGATCATTACCAATGAAATCGTGAGATGGGAAGCATTGGAACCATAGTGGAACGAAGTGGGAGAGTTGTGTGCGTAACATGATATGATTTTGAGCAATAAATTGTGCTTGAAACATCATTAGTAAATATTACTGTATAAGAGTGAGAGACTTTACCAAAGTAAATTATACCCACAATCCAACTGTACTCTACCACGGTGCGCAAGATCTATTCATATATTTGAATGAGACAATATCATACATGAATAGTGTAATTCTTTGGCTCGTACTACGGCCTACTTCGAAGTAAGTGTTGATCAGTGATGTTTCGGACCATGTGGACGCTGAGAGCTGAATGACAATATATTCAAGAAGAAGAAGAGTTGTGGAGTAGTAGGTAGCCTGAAGTTCAAGATGAATATTCTCTACAAACTCAATATTTCCTAAAAAGTGAACACAAATTTTTAGAGTTGACTGCCATTGAGATAAACACCTTTGACTTCATCACCTGAATGATTCTATGAGATTGTGGAATTTGAACAGAATTTCGTTCCACAAATGAGTGGCCAGAGTTGCAAATGCCATCAACTTTCGCTCTTCAAATTGAGACACTTTTTCCTTTCAGTGGCTATATATGATGATGTTGCTTGAATCTCGTGATTAGTTGAATAATCGATCAATATATCTCATTGTGCCTGAGAAAGTGGCAACCAGTTTCCGTGGTAAAAGTTCATTGAACAGCGCACTGTCTAGACGGTGAAATCAATTGAGAAAATAATCGACTCCGATTTCTTCGATAGATCATACAAACAATTGTGGAACATTTGTGTGTGTATGTGGTATACAATGTTTAGAAGTCAACAATTTTACCATCATTATACACCGCGCTCTCACTTGTGAAAATACCTACTGTTTCAAAATATCATCGTCCTTCATGATATACATATTTCACAACGAATACTAAAAAGAGAAGAAAATTGTTTACAATGAAGACATCACCAACACTTGTCGAAAAGTACTAACTTTCGACGGAGAACTCATAAACCAATTAAATAATGACGATTTTGATATTGAAAATGTTCCACCTTATCTGTGTCATAGTCTAAAAAGACTTGAACAAATGGACACCAAAACGCTGAGGTCGGTATTACTCAGTCAGTGTGAAAAATAATCTAATCAGTCTGAATGTGAAAACTAAAGAATACACAGTAGAAATATAGTCAAGCGAATTAATTGCAGCTAGGTATTCGGAATATGCATGCGTTAAATTTAGGCAACCATATAAGACTTACGGATATTGAGAAGTGGATATGTGGTCGACTACAGCCCCATTGATTTCGTTCTCCTCTCCTGTGGATATTCACGATCATCAGATTTCCAAAATATGCACATGGCTCCAACCATGTTTACGGCCAATATCCTTTGACCAAAATCAGATTCTCTGCATCGCCCCACTAAGCGTCGTTGCTGAGAGCAGGAAAGAATGCATTAATTTGATCAGGGAATGTTTCGATCTCAGCCGGAATTTCGTGTGGAAAATAAGAACCATCACTGGTCAATGCAGAGGAAGCCATTATCTCGGTACCTATTGTATTTTTGTGTATTATTGATTTCTGTCCTCCAGATATTTCAGAATTCACAACACTTCTCCGAATTTCCCTCAAAAGGAATGCATATTCCAGAGATGATAATTCTCAATACCAAATCATTCTCTGTTTGTATTCCAGGGATTTGTCAGCCAATGATGTTGGACACAAACATGATTCGTCTAAATTTCGATTGTCTGAGAATCGATGTGTGCACTCGTCTTTGTCACATTCATCCAATCAGCCTGCACAAACGAAACAACACCCACACTGATCTCACAATAATACCAATCAGTCTGTCATTCCACACACTTCCAATAACTATATATACACCATCCATTCTGTAATTCAGTCTACAGTATAAACATGCATGTTCAGTATTTCTTCCTCCTGAGCCTTGTCCTGGCGTTGTGTTGCGTAGAAGGTACGTGAGAACGGTCTTTGTTGATTTCGTGTATTCTATTCATTGTCAGTGTTTGATATTTCGAGTTTTGTCAATGATGTGCCACAAAAGTGATCTGAGTAACTCATTGATAACATTTTCACTACACAATAATTCAGATTGGATATTCATTTCGGACAATGATGATGATGATGATGATGTTGATTAGACCTGCTTGATAGAGTGATACATTGATCTGTGAGTCAGATATCGATTGCTTCGTAGACGTTTCTACCGACTGAGTGAGACAGTGCCCCTCTGGTGAATATTCACATTCATCAATCATGGTGTGTTGAAGAGTTAAAAGTTTTCTCCAGTTATCTGATATGATTTCATCTTTGATCTCTTCTTACAGGTTTCGAAGTGACCAACTTCACAGTTACTCTAGTGAGTCTAATTATTGTGTATGCTCTTTCATCGTTTCCACAGTACTAGTGATCTCAAACCACCATGTGTGATTATACTCCTCATCTGGACAACTTACATTTTGTGTTCACTTTGCGATGTGACTACACTGTCGATTTTCTCTTTCAGAGTCGCGGAAGAGAAGTTGCCTACGTGATGACTGAGGGTAGATATGGGGTGTGCTTTTGCGTAAGTCTTCTCAGTGATATCAGTTTGTATTGCGTTCATAAACGCCAGAAGTGATCGGATGTCAAGAAATCAGTAGGTTTATATATATCCTGACACCCCAGTGTACGAGGAACGTGTATTGAGCAATAATTGGGTGTGTTTGAAAAAGGAATCTTTTCTTGCATTGACTGATGTTGATGAATTGAAGGAGTCCTATAATTGCGTGAATATGCAATCCAGAACTTGTACTTGTGCCACTGCAACACATACCAATCACACATGACCTAAGACACACAGATTTCCACATCGCCAACATATGATTCGCATTTCGAATTCATCAATCCCCCTTGCAGTGATTGAAGGAAAGCCTTCCATCTACAAACAATGTCACATGTATAAAATCCACATGATCAGTATCACGTATTTATGAGATGGGACCTATTTATCAGTTAGCTTATTCTCCATTTCCACTCAATGACTCTTTTACTCTTTCTCACTTCAAATTTCAGTGGGCAGATCGCGTCTCAGAGGTGAGAGACGTTAATAATATTTGACTAATTTTGAAGAAATCCATTGAAAATTCGATTTTATTTCATGAAAAGCTTAGTATTATGTGGATGTCATCGACTCTGAATATGCTAAGCAGTAGGATTAAATCAATGAATAACTCAACTGGAGAATGAAAACGTGATTGAACTGGAAACATAGGCCTGATATGAGAGAGTGAACTAGCGACCTGTTCGCACATGGAACATAGTCCCTTTTGTACACGGAGAATTCAGTGAAATATGCGAATTGGTCAAGATAACGACAGAATCACTTGGTTTTTTTGACAGAGAATTCTGCATTCCCTGAGTTTCACTAAATTCCCATGCCTATTGGTTTATCTTTTCATTCTCAGTTGAGCGAAAATTTCGTCGGCCAAGAAAATGAAACTGAAATCTGTCCGTTATGTTTATGCGTAAGTCCGCATTGTTAAACAACAGAATTATTTTGATTCTTTCCCCCGTCATTTCAAGATGATGCACATTACAAAATAAACACCAGTTGATATATCACTCATAGTGTTTATGCATGGAACAGGTCGTCATTAGCTTATAAGTCTTCCGAGAAGAATCCTCCGAACACACTGCAAATTATTATTTGTAATCTCAATTAGTACAGCCTAGTTCATCACGAAACACCACCAGTAATGACATCTTATTCGTGTTCCAGTTAGCTCGGAGAATCCTAGAACTGACATGATTAGCTATGCATACGGAATATTCAGATGTCAATGTTATTTTCAACCTGTTTCAATCTTCACCACTTCTTCAAATCCACTAACAGTAATGCTTACATGTTTTTCTTTCCAGGATTAATTTCCAGCTATCGGAACAAATGAAGGTGATTAGCGTCTCCCATGATTAGTGTGTAGTTTGTAGCTCCTTAGTTTAATCAATAAATCCTTTATTTCCAACTATTCACTTGTTCTGAATTCTCTTGACGACACACTAGTGATGAAAGTCTTTAGTATTGGATATCTGGTCAGCTTTGTACGAATAGGAATTCTTTGGAGATATTTTCTCTGTCACCATCAAAATCTCGATATCTCTGTGGTGTGTGTGTGTGTGTGTTGGAAGTGTTAGTTACTGAGAAACACTAAGACTTTCAGTGTAATCGTCGATGGGTTGATGATAGTGATTCAGAGTGAGTTTCTAAGGTGAATAGACAGGACACATGTTGAAGCATATACCCATACTATCATCAGTGTATAATTTGGATAGATGGTGGTGTGTCTTCATCGGATATCGTTCAGAATATGTGTGTTGGTGAAATCAATGACCACTCGAACAAGATATCTTCAGTGAGCAGTAAGCATGCAATTTGACTGAACGTGAATATATCTGTAGTACCGTGATGTCAGATTTCGTTTTGGGTAGCACTGACATTCGATTGTTTAGCTTGCTCTCTCAACTGCTTCACACAGCAGAATGTGTGGACTAACTGTCCACATGGATTTAGTACATGAAATCCTTATTCTACGACTACATCAGCCTAATTATTCCCTTGCGAATTGCGCAAGTTTCGTGTTGTTCTCGAATACGTCGTAGGTTAGGACAAGCAGAGTCTGTCAATGCAACATCATTACAACATCATACACCATGAAAGCGTTTGAGATAGCCTCGAAAGTCAAATTGCATGACTCCATATCACACCACACCACACCACACCTTAGCATCTATGAATGTTTTTCGAATACGATGGAAACTCGAACACGGGCTACTCATTCTTCACGAGAACTGAGATTTTCGCACAAGTGGAGAGATTTGAGCAACACAAACAGTATACATGTTCCTATGTGACCTTTCATCTTTTGATTCCCATTTTTGTACTCAAGAATCAAACAAACAGACTCCACTCGGTGACATTCGAATCTCAGTTTTGGGTAACGAGTGCATGTTGAAGAGAGAAAACACAGTGTGCATCATTTGTTGTTCAGCCATTTGATGCCACTTCATTAGTGACACACAGGCACTCACGTGTGTGGATATATGTGGAAGCGAGCTCGCCTACACTCTGACCAGCATTGATTAACATGGCATGCTTTTGTTACTTTGAGGAATGATGTTCATTTCCGACTTGAGTGATGGTTGCTGTTCCACACAATCGGACATGTCACGCAACGTCTTAAGGCATGCATCGCTCGAATGTCACATCATTTGATCCACACGAAGAATTAGAGATGTCTGCCAGCACCTCGTTCAACGGAGTTATTCGTGTGTGCAACGAAACACGATGCGGGAGAATCGAACTAGCTGTGTATGTTACTTAATAATATTAAATCCCGACTTACAGGCAGATGTGGCTAAATCCCGAGTAGACTTTGATATCATCTCAAAGGAATATTGTGTACCTTCCGATAATAGGAAACATAAGATTATCGAAATTGTGGTCTAATGAAGTTCTTGTGTGTTAAATGGTAAATATGCTGTTTCGAGTGACACAAGATGGACTGGTTGCCGCTCTCCATAACCTCGTTTACTTTTCATACTTTCAGTAAACCTCAGAAACAAGAGAGGTCACGCATGAGTCTGCGTCACTCAAAACGCGAATAACGAGAGGAAATGAACAAGCAGATTAGTGATTGACTACATTTAGTTAACCTGGAATTCACGTTGGCACACCTCGAATAATTGAAACTGCTCAATGTCGAGGATATAATCAGTGCTGGTAGAAATCCGCGAAATAATGCATCTGAAGCATACATATGCCTCTCATGATCACACAGCGTTACTCTGCGGGATATTTCAAATCTGGAGAATAGTGAAAATATGCTGATGGCTGTATTTTAAGTCTCACTGATGCGTTTGATAGTAATATTCAGCTCTAGCATAATTCATCTGTCATTTTGTATGAATTACTCGTCAAGTATTCTGGTTCTTAATTGCGTGTGAACTAAAAGCTTCACCTGTTGCTGAAGACTGCTCATATGGTAATAATACTTATTCATATGTTAAACTGGGCACTGACTGCTATGATGAGCCGCCCGCAGATAAGATTGCAGCAAACGTTGTTGCCGGGAAACTAACTGACGTTTCACAAGCCACTTTTACTAATTCATGAACAGCCTACCGTACCTACAACATGTAACACAGCCTTCAATTGTTAAGTGGATTTTCGTTAGACGATGCCTATGATTCTGTCATTCAAATTGCATCTCTTCTTTTATATAAAGTGACCTTATGGTGTACTTATTATGATTCCAATTATGATACCATAGTACGAGCTTACAACGCCATCTTCTGACAACTGCTTTGATCATAAACTGCTGAAATCTAGCATTTCGTTAGCCCTAGCCTAACATGTCATTAGGCCCGCGAGCTATGACTACAAACTGTCCTCTTCAACCCTATACCTAGTGTTCTCTTATGGTGAGGATTTGGACCTCATTCAACATCTTCCTGCCTGAAGAAGTGGTCATGATGAGTTCGCTTTCAAGTTCGCAACGGAAGTATTATGGGCCCTAACTCCAGCTCGACCACATTTTTGTGATAATAATTCGTATTTCGTATAAACGGTTAGGTTTACAAGAAGTGCATGCCATTTTTACGGGAACGATCAGTTATGTTATAAATCACAATCTTGAAGTATCATAAATTAATGCTTTTTCAAAGTATTTGTTGTTGGATTATTGTACAAACCATTTTAGTTTCTATATGACTTTTTGAATGGGAATGAAGAATGTACATATTTGACCAATGCAATTCCAGGTGGTCTGCAAACATTGTTGGTCCCATATCCCAACAAGTGCCTAGTAAATTGTCCATTACCTTCCCTCAGGACGGCTCCTGGATCACAGTTGTGGAATATACATTTATACCAGTGAAAAAGTACTGATTTATAATACTTCACGATTGTAGTTTATAACATAACTGGTCATGGCTGTAAAAATGGCTTGCATTCCTTTAAACACCCATTCATAAGAAAATATAAATAAGTATTATTTTTAGTCTGCACTGAATACAATTCCCTTCTGGCGTTACTTAAGATGAAAATGCTGACAAGATTATACAAGCATATTATTATTATTGTTCTCTTGGATTCCTAGTGGAACATAGGCCTTCAACTACTAGTCTCCACTTGCTTCTGTCTTCCTTCTGCTGTATTTTTCACCTGCATCCATGTTAGTCCATACTCTTTCAACTCCTCTTCACATGAACTCCTCCATGTCAAACTTGGATGTCCCACTCACCGCTTCCATTTCGGGTTTCACTCGAGCGATGGCCTGACGATCGCGCGATGACACTCAGTGACCTCCTCGGCGAGTGTCCAATCCACCTCTATTTTCTCCTGCATATTTGTTGGGCGATTGGTTATCGTTTTGTTTCTTCCCATAGTTTCTTGTTGGTGATTCTTTCCGAGCCGGCCATCTGATCTTCAGTATGTAGCCAGCGAAGTCAGTTGTTGATAAAAGTCTCCAACAGGTTGTTGGAAATATTCTTTGTGACCCGCCCGCCAAGTTTCTCATCCACATAGAAGAACTGACTGACTTGACGTCTATATTGAAAATCCGAATTTTGTTGTTGATCCTGAGTTGAGTGACGAAGATTTCCAGATTGGTTTCAGGTTGATGAATGTGTTTCTCGCCTTCCCGATTCTCGATTTGACATCATCGTCCGCTCCTCCTGTAGTTAAGACAATGCTCCCTAGTGAATGAAGTGATCTCTTTCAAATCCCTCCCGTTGGTGGTGATTGACGTTGGATGTTGCTGCTGTTATTGGTTGGTTATTTTCATAACCTCCGTCTTGCCTATATTCACCTGGATTCCTGTCTTCACCGGATGCTTCTTCGACCGGTTTGTCGGTTTTCGCTTGTAAGTCTTCCATTTTATGTGACATCAAACATAAATCATCCACGCGCGAAATCCAGGTCTTCTAGGTTCTTCACGCCGGTCCAGGATATTCCTGTCTCCCGCTTCCCACTGTTGAAGCATAATCCAGTCCACCACAATTAGGAATATCATTGGTGATAATAAGCACCTTGTCTGACTCCTGTGTTTAATTCAAACGCCTCGCTGAGTTTTCCGTTGTGGATCACTTGACATGTGCCGTTGTCGTGCAGCTAGTTGTTGAATTAGGTTGATGAATATGTAAGTGTTGGGGGTAGACTTAAAATAGACCTCGATATCACCACACTTACTAAAAACTTCACCGACTTATAACTTACCAGTATTCTACCTAACGTGTAAGTACTGATTAACGCAATCAAAGTTTAAAGGCTAAAAATGGAAAGAATTCTTAGTATGAGTTGTATTTAATTTAACTGAATAACAGATTTAACAAATAAAGTGACTGTACAACTTATCTGCTGACTCGACTGGAGGTAGGCTCAAAGAGTGTGCTGTATGAAAGCACAACGAGGGAACAAACCAAGTGCGTCAGGAAAGTCACGGACCAAAAAATCCAGAAGTGCCAAAAGTGGGGTGAGTGAGTTTAAACAAAAGTTCAGAGGTTAAATGTCCACTACAAATATTTGGGGTACGCCATAGTATTCGAGTAGTTTCCATATTTCTTCGCGGTCAACTCTGTCGAAGGCCTTTTCAAAGTCTATAAAGTTGAGATAGAGGTTTGATTTCCATTCCATGCTTTGTTCGATGATGATGCGTAGAGTTGCAATTTGGTCAGAACATGATTTGCCTTTCCTGAATCCAGCTTGTTCTGGTCGGAGTTCTGTCTCCAGTGCGTCCTTTAATCTCTCCAGGATGATGCGACTCAGGATTTTACTTGGCGTCGACAGGAGCATGATTCCTCGCCAGTTCTTGCAGAGTGAGGCGTAAGTCGCCCTTCTTTGGTGGTTTCACGAGGTAACCTTTCCTCCAGTCAGTAGGCACCTTTCCCTCCTTCCAGACCTTTTGCAATAATGGAGTCAGCATGTCTGCTGTCGTCTCTGGGTCCGCTTTCAGTGCTTCAGGGGGTATTCCATCTGGTCGGGCTGCTTTTCCAGCTTCCAGAAGTTTGTTTGCATTCAAGACTTCAGCTTTCGTTGGAGGATTGGTGTCAACTTGCAGTTTTGTACGTGCTGTTGTTTGTATTTCTGGATGGGTTGCAGGTGGTGGTCTGTTCAAGAGTCCTATGAAGTGACCCGCCCAATGTTCAACTGGTCTGTCTTCCTTGGTAATTGGGTTCCCTTGGCTGTCTTTTATAGGTTTCACTTGTGTTGATCTCTTCCCGGATAGAGATTTGCTTATTTGATATAGTGCCATCAGGTCCTTTTTGCCTGCTGCCTTATCAGCTTCAGTGGCCAAGTTGTCGTAGAATCGTCTTTTGTCCTTCCTAGTACTCTTCTTCACTTTTTTGCCCAGTGCTGTGTTTGTTGAGCTCAGCGTCTCTTCTCCTGTCCGTCTTTGCATTGAATCATTTTCTCTTCCACCATTCTCCTCTCTTCTATTAGTTTCCAAGTGTCCGTTGAGAGCCATTCCTTGTCTTGTCTCTTCTTTCTTCCTAGAATCGTGGAACACGTTTCGCTGAGAATCGCCTTCAGAGAGTTCCAGTGGTCTTTCACGCATGGTTCTTCAGTGATGTGACGTAGTGTTTCCTTTGTGGTTGTGTCCTTCAGTTTTGAGTGTTGAACTTGCATTATGGCCTATCCCCAGCTATCCTCGAGGCTTTTAGTTTCACCTTGAAAGTCCCTTCTACTAGATAGTGGTCTGAACCCACATCTGCTCCTCTCCTCAACCTTGTGTCCAGCAGGCCTCGTCTCCACTTTCTTGAGATTGAAATGAAGTATATCTGGTTTTTGGTGTGCCCATCTGGTGAAATCCATGTCGTCTTGTGTATATCCTTGTGTCCGAACAGACTGCCACCAATCACCAAATCATTGAAGGCGCAGAAGTCTGAGAAGCGTTCACCATTGTCGTTCATTTCACCGAGGGACTCTCGACCCATGGTGCGCTCTCTTCCTGTGTTGTCTTCTCCCAGCTTCGCATTCATGTCGCCCATCAGGATTTTGAAATCGCCATTTGGGACGTTGTCCATTATTGCTTGAAGTTGTCTGTAGAACGCCTCCTTCTTTTCTTGTTCTGAGACGTTTGTTGGCGCATAGCATTGAATGATTGTAAGCTTCCTTCCTTTTAAGTTGAACCTGACTGTCATTATCCTGGAGGAAATTGGTTCCCACTGCATGAGAGCTTTGGTTGCTGTTGGTGACATCATGATGGCTACTCCCTCGGTGTGTTCATGGTTGTCCTCTGGGTGGCCGGAAAAGATTACTGTCTCTCCAGTTGGTAGTTGGCACCTTACAGTTCTGTTCCATCTGCTCTCGCAGATTCCCAACACTTCTATTCTGTATCTCCTCATTTCGGTGGTTGCCTGGGAAGCCTTTGCAGTTTCGTACATTGTACGAACATTCCACGTACCCATCCTTATTTTTACTTTCATCGAAAGAAGGCACATCACTGACTGGCTTCCCGAATGCTTTCACCAGCCTGCGTCACTTCACTTCCCTGATAGTAAATACTAAATAACTCGCATCATTGCAATATATGGTTTGCGTAAATGATGAGGAAGGGCGTTGAATATCGAGGTATCTATAACTCCATGATATCGGTGAAGACAGAGTCCTTTAATTTGTGGGTACTGTGTTTCGAGCTGTTTATTCAACTCATCATGTATTAATCTAACTCCTTTCATTTTAATTTTCCAGATTAGAGTCTGCACTTCCTCAGTCAACCAGTACATCTAGACCTTCTAATGAAATTAAAACGGATATTATATGTGTGTGAATGTTGAAGTATTTGTGATATTATGAATGTATGTATTGAAATAATCATTTTGAAAAGTTTACACTTCATTCATACACTATTAATACTTACTGTTTTTCGAGTTGAAAAGTGATGCCAGTGTAGAAGAGGTAATATGCGTAAAATGTCATATTTACACGTGATTGAATTTGGGCATGATGGGTTACTATTTATTATTGCTTTTTGAGTTATTGCTCCCCCTGGCACACTATAAACAGGCCATATGCATAACAAAAGCCTATTCAATAAGTTGCAATATATTAATGACAACAAAATAATCAATGAAGTTTAGTGATGTGGTCAACTAATATACAAGTCTAAATGTTGATGTGATCATGTAAGAACGTACTGATACCAAAACGATAACACAAGGAGAGTAAAGTAGCTATCTGTTTATCACCTAATGATTTCCTGTGAGACTGGTGTTAAACTCAACATAAGAATAACAGACTATCCGTGATAGATGGGATATACGTTTAACTCTATTACAGGTAAGATTCTATTTTGATAAATCACACAGTGTTATAAAGTAATATGAAATGATGACGTTTCGAGCACAACTACTGCTCATAATCATATCAAGTCACTCATACAACTTTTTACTTCATTTTTATACATGAATGAAATTGATTAGACACAGAGGTTAGATGCTCACCGACCATGCTCACGGTACGGGGTTCGATTTCCGGCCACCGACGCACTCCTTTACATCGTTAAGCCAAAAGTAATGCTGGTAAAGAGGAAAGGTTGGGCATGAGGCTAGCAACCCCATCCTGTAAAAATAAACACTGCTAAAGAAACTTCAAGCCACTAGCTTGAGGCCCTATGTCCCACTAGGAACCTGAAGGAAAAAAAATTTATTTTGATTCAAATGTCTAATCAATTTCACTCATGTATAGAAATGAAGTAAAAAGTTGTATGAGTGACTTGATATGATTATGAGCAGTGAATGTGCTCGAAACGTCATCATTTCATATTACTTTATAACACTGTGTGATTAATCAAAATAAAATCTTATCTGTAATGGAGTTATACTCCACCATAGTGCCTATGTTTTATACATTTCATTGCGTACTTGAAGTGTCTAGACTACCAATAAAAGTCGTGTACTTATAGATACTACGTCTGCTAGGTTATATTTCGTTATTACAGTCCGAACACATGTTCAACTTCTATTTTCTTAACAACAGTGAATGCTAATATTATACACAACCGGATTAAATGTAACTGAAACGCTTTACGCAAGGCTTGATGACGCATTGAGAAAGTAATAACAGTTTAAGACTGACGAATTTCACATAAGTATTACTACGTTGCCTAACATTCTCGTTAATTATACACTGTCGCCGAAATTATAATTAAAGGAGACAAAGTTAGTTGACATAAATGCATATATTTGCAAGGGAAAATAGTCAATCAAGTTGAAAATAATTCAACATGAAACAGTACATATCTACACTAAAAAGAGTTCATAACAATCCAGTGAAAAGAAATCACAGTTATAGAGTTTATTTATGCTTGCGTTATAGTCATAATAAAGTCTATTAAACACTGTATTTGCAACAACTGTATCAGGTTGCCTTTGTAGGGTAGCGATGTTGGACCAGTCTTTGCAGTTTTCGGCAACACCAGATCCGTCCGAAACAACCGGATGTGATGTTTTTAAGCAGAGATTGAGACTGCATTCCTTCGGAAACGTTGGGAAATATCTGAGGATCTATACATATCAAGTGAATTGGTTTTACCTCTGGTAAACAATTCCTCATCTTATGCATACTGAATATGCGAACAAGGGAGGGATTAATCATACAGTTGCTGAAATTCTATATAACCGTCCATATATTTCAAGACTTCACACTTTCTCTTCTGTTAAAAACAAGTACTATACAAGTGCATCTCTTATCCATCCGTTACAGCCAACTTAAGGATATCAGAACTACAAACTTTATGCTTCTTTAAGTTATCCAGTAATGTTTGTCTTTTAAGTGGATCCAACGCTTATCACTTATGTGAAATTTATACAAATGGTTGAACCAGTGCGTGTGCTGTCATCGTCCGCGACGATCTGAAGTGCAACTGTTCTGTTGTGATAACAGAGATTAACTGTGATAACCTAAATTAATTGAATCATCATCGATTTCAGAGTACTGAAGACGCGTGGAGGAAGTAGGGGTTTTGGCAGCTAAGATCATGTTGAGAAATACTTGTGAGATTGTTGATTTCTAACAGAGTGTAGACCACGAACAACGTACATACCCATGTTCTACAGTTCCCTGCCAAACTGGACCTGTAAATCACAGTCTGTATGTGTTTGATGTCTGTCTCAGCCGACAAATAGTGAGTCTTCTCTAATGTCAATACGCTGTAAGTGACATACCATGGATCGAGTGTCGATGATCAGGCATTTGTTGAAGTCATACCTAGATAACTGATTACCATGTCTGTGCATTCGTATATAACTCTTCAATACCGACTCACTCCGAATTTGATCAGTATTGACTCTGATGTTGCAAGACGCTGTAATTGAATCATGCGATACACAAATTAGGAGTGCTTTAGTGCATCTGCATGTAGAAACAAAATGATGCCGTAAGAAAGATGAATCCTGCGAATTTTATGCACTATTCACATTCGCTATATATCACTATTATCATCTGAAAAAATGAGGATTCGCTCAGTACAATAATTTTCTGATCATAATGAAAACCAGAATTTATAAGGACACACATGGGACTGACTATTTAATGTTGAATACAATGAGTCATCCCTCCTGCAGACTGTTGGAGATAATACCTCTTTGGTGACTCCCCACAGTTTCAAAGTTGAGAACACACAGATAACACTTGATTTCCCTCTAGGAGGTTGCACTTACTGAATTGATAGCAATCCATCCAGTTTGTGCGAGCTCAGATTTTCAAATCACGATATCACCAGTCCAAGCACACTCCAATTCCTGTTAGCCTATCTACTCTGGGCTTTCCGCTATCTGTCTCTTCTTGAAAATTAAAGGTCATAAGGGAAATGAATATTCAGTTAGCATCTTACTCATCTGAGATTAGTTGAGACGAGACATGCATCAATGCAACTCATATAATGGAGGTGAATGAGAGTTGGAGATTATCGCTTCAACATACCCCACTATATTTAGTTGTCATAAATTCCGAAAGATATCTGAATATGTAAAGCCATTTGACAAACATGAGTCAGTTATATTTTATTACGCTCGATTTTACTTATGTCAAACATTCCTTCAAAACAGTACTTGAAATATTACCATATGGGACGCTGTCAGCTGGAAATATACACAACATCATGTACAGTGGAACTAAATAACGTCATTGATTTTGATACTAGTTAGACAGCAATTTTCGCTGAACATCGAATGGTATACGACTGCATAAACCACAAATCACCTGGGTATAATGAGACAAGACTGGTGAGTCGAATTGTAAGAAAAAGACAGACATAATCTAAGCTTTCAGCAATGAAATTTTCAATTGAAATCATACTTTCTGTGTAGATTTAAGGTGAACCATTATGTATCACCATCACAACAAGAAACAATTTGTCATTCGAGATGAAATTCCGAGCAGGTTTGAATGAAGGAGATAATTCCATTGTGAGTAAAATTTATTCTGATAAGGTCTCTCAGTGTTTATATAGTAATACTCACTGATGACCACGTTTCGAGCACAATTTATTGCTCATAATCATATCAAGTTACTCACACATCTCTCCTACTTCGTTCCACTATGGTTCCACTATTT